CCAGCCTGATTTGAAAGAAATGGAAAGGTTAAACCATTTTCCTGAGAGTCTGAGACCGATTAAAGTGACGAAAGAAAAGAAAGAAAAAATGGCAACCCAATTCCCAGGCTACACTGTAAAATGTAATTCAATTTCGTTGGCAAATATAAAGTTGGCCACGACGTAATTTAACGTATACATGGCACGCAGTTCCTTTGGAATACGCGAGTTCTATACCTCGACTAGCTTCAGATCACTACCTATGAGGCAAATGTAAGGGAGTACGTATACTCCCCTGGGGATTTTCGTTGTCATGATGATGAACATGCACTATCAATTAAGCATGTTAAGCGAAGGCAGTCATTAAATGAGGATGGTGTGTTTGAAGATGGCGTACAGTCCCTTTTCACCGTCTCCTTCAAAATATGTTACGATGAGTACCTTTCGGGGTTTTTCTTCACTTTTTATTGAAGTGTAAACCTTTTGATGAGCTTTTTTTCCCCTTCCAAAACGTGATTGCAAATCTGTGTGTGTGTGTGTTCCATTTTTCCTTTCAATCTCCCTACTTACGATTATTTTTCACTTCTTACGATTGGTTATCATGAATATAAAATTGGCCACGAGGTAATTTAACGTATACATGGCACGAAGTTCCTTTGGAATACGCGAGTTCTATCCCTCGACTAGCTGGGAAAGATCTCAAGTGGTCCTGCAGTAATTAGCAGTGAATTATCAACGAACAAACTCGCTCAGTTTTGAAAAGAGTTAAGACTGTCCTAATTATAAACAGCATCTGTTGGGAGGAACATCTGACCGCGATATCCCTTTTTAATTCTTTATAAAGAACCCTATTGACACTCATGTATATGTCTACAAGTCAGTAGTTCACAGACGACTGAGAATTTTTCTGCACGAGTAGCTTGAGTACGTAAACGGTTGATCCCTACATCTGTAGGCTACAGACGTACGGATCAGCCGTTTTCACGGTATCGTAGATCGCACGTATGTTTTCACCCTTTCTCATAGTATAAAATCATGTCTCTCTGACGGAGTGGCAGTGGACACTCACTCACAGATGGCAAGGAGAAAAATGAGCACAGTGGCGACTTTCTCAGTTGTAAGGTTTTCAACTGCTTCGCTCAGTACATCCTCTAAGTCGTCACAGATGGAGAAGAAGGCGAGGCAACCGTTTCAGTTTAAATTGATTGTCAAATACGACTCTGACTAATTGACTCTAAAATGAGTTTTGGCCGTAACATAGAATTGCAGAGCGAGGCTAGAGTTTTTTTTTTTTAGATGGATTGGTTTGCTCGAAGTTGCGTTTTAACTTCGATAATCAATTCAGAGTTGACATAGTTTAACCTGGGCATGTCAATAATATAACTTTTTTTGTAAAAGTCACTTGGCTACTACACTGTATAATTTTAAAATAGTGGTCTTTTCCATACATTTAATCGCCAAAAAAAAAA